AGTCCATCGATATTGAAAGGGAACACAATATTTTTAAGTCTGTCAGCAGAGATAAGAGAAATAAGCATCAAAGATACCTCGCTTGATAACACTGCGATTGCGCCAGTTATCTGGCATAACAGACTCGAACGCCAGCTATAGTCATGCAAGTAGTATTGTCCTGCCCATATCGCATCCATCACACCTATGGTGATCAGGTAAATACCCATTAATCCATCGGATACCGCCAAGTGCATCAACATTATTGGCTGTGCAATATTTCTCTCCCTGTAATACATTCGCCATGTGATGACAAACACAGCTCCAATCAGAGAAATGATACCAATAACCCAAATACACTTCCTTGGGGCTCGATCTCTGAACATAGTCTCGCAACTGGCAAAGCTGTCGACATAGGCAAAATCGCAGTCCGCGTCCTCTTTTGTCAGGTGACAACACATCAGGTTGGTGTCTACACTCCTAGGGTTCATAGAAAGAGTTTAAATTCATGAATCCCAAAGGAGAACATGTGCTGAAGAAATTACAGGTACTCAAATTGATTAAAATATTTTAGGTATAATTCCGATGTGCTCTAAGAATGAATTCTCATAACTTAAGAGTCTCACCATTGGGGGATTGGGAAAATGGGAACCATCAATGGGTCTTCATATATGTCAATGACGGGGATGGCGAGGTTGTAAGTACTACATAGATCGGTAGAGACGAATTAAGATTCTAATAAATCACCTCAGCTAGGCACTGAGAGTGTACTTTAATTGACTTACGCTGATATTAACTGCTTCATGTTAGAGAAGAAGCCTTCTGGTAGTTCCCGCATCTCGTTGTAATGAAAGTACCTGCGAGTTAGAAGAAAGCAATTAAGCTAAACCAGCAATGCTTCCTCGTGTTATACTGACAATGATCTCTTCAACCTGCTGTATCAGTTACTGAGAGGTCGCTTCCTACTTCCTCTGCTCTTTTTCGCACAATCTCCAATGATTATCAGATACCGAAACGTTATAAACCTTAGCAAAAGGAAACTGAAAGATGAGAACTCATTTATTGGGAAAAGTGAGCAATAAACGCATCTGTTTTTTACCGAGTAATGCCATTTTTCCAGATTCGTGACAAGTTATTTGTCGACTAATCACGCAGGCGTGGGCGTATTTACTTTGCCAACATACTTCGAATTCGCAACCAATCTAAGTTTTTCCTGGATCCAGTTATAGAATTCCGTACGGTCGTATACGCCCTGAAGAAACTCAGCTGGTTCATACTCACAAGAATCGAATGTTTGGTGAGACATCTTTGAATTGTTCATTAGTTACTTCAGTGATTTTGTTGAGATGAAACCTCCTGAATAAGGATAAACCAATAAAAATTGTACACGTCATACGAGTGTTGTATCATCCTTCGAAAACTGTTTACTTCAACTTAATTTGGCTCATTTTGTTTCGACTTCGTTCAACAGCATCAGTTAACTCTGATTGGTTTACCTGACCTCATGATTACTATAAGGGCTGAGAGACTTTTTATGTATTTAGGCTTTGTATGCCGTGGCACTACACGGCATACCCTTTGTTTGAATCTTGAAGGAACCTGAAGTTGGGCTTCCCATAAAGTTCTTGCAATTTTAAAATTTCTTCCTGTCATAGGATCTTCAGTCATGTTTGTGTCCACGTACTGAATAGAATGGTTCTTGCACCTGTACTAGGCTTATTTTACCCTAAATCCATGGTATTGTTTCGAATAGCACTCTGTTGTATGTACGTTCACTGTCGCATAGTAATAATTAATATGGTCGGAAGGATAACTTAGGCTAAGATGATAATTCTTTTCATGTCTACTAGTGTGCGTGACCATTCCGGACAAGTCAGAAAATTTTATTCGCTATGATATCTGTGGTTTTTGCAAGCTTCCCGAGCATATACATGTAGATGCAGAGTAGGTAGAGTCTATTTAAGGGTAGCGTGGTATTTAAATACCATTTGATTGCATCGATTAATAGTTTCATGATATCTGAGGTTTCTATGCAGTTTTCCCTTAAGATAGCAGTATTTGAGGTCTCGTTTGTTGTCCTTCAGTCTATTATGAAAAGCAATTCGTTCTACCTTTACTAATAATTTCTTACACATACATACATACATACATACATGGGTTAATTGACCACTTCCCATAGGAGCTTATCAGGGCCAACACCCACCCATCCCACCCAGGGGAGGACCTCTACCACACAGTAATCTCATGCGTGGGAAATTAACGTCTTCTACACTTAACCCTGCAGGATACGGGGTCTACGGTTTATTCGTCCTTATCCGAGAAGACTAGAATATTACTCCATTATTTGATTATAGAAAGGTAGCAAATTCTCCTCACTTATTTTAAGACCATGAGTATTGGTAATTAACTAATTGAGGTAACCGAGAGGCGGTTATGAGAGTCTCACAGCTATTGGAAGTATTAGTTTCGTTTATCAAAGAGGTTTAATTTGATAAAAAGATACTTACATAGACATAATCTGTTTCGCATCCTTAAAAACTCCACGTGGCAGATATTTGATATCGTTGTCATAAACAGCCCTTGAAAACAAAAAAGGGGGAATTTCATCTTCCAAACAACATAGAAGCAATCTAATCATAAATGGATTTTCATTACAAATACCATTCATATTACTTTTATGGCGTTCTTTCAGGGTAATAAGAGGCAAAAAACGAGGTTGTCGACTATTCAAGCGTTTCCACGATACATGAAAAACTTAGCTTTTACCATCCGTTGCTCTTCCCTTTAAGTATGCGTGAGGTTCATTTTAATTGAAAATTTCTCTCCTTAAAAGTTAGATATGTACTGAGAATATCGAGCAAAGAGGATCTATTAAGAGGCATTGCTTTTCGTTTTGGTTTTCTTAAACCATCGGCTTTTTCAGAGGTCCTGAAAACTTAGAATTAATTTTTAAAAGAAGAAAAATCGATGTTTTCACTTACAGGTCTCTTAGTTTGGATAGACCTTGGAACTGATCAGGCAACAAGGCCACGAGGCTGTTGTTGTCCATGTATCTACACAGTAAATGAAATGCAGTGTATGATGTTCCAAACCATAATGCAACATGGACTTTTACTCCCAACTAGTGACGATTTATATATTCTTTGATTCTTACAATAAACAGCCTTCCTCGTCTCAATCGCATCATAAGAATTCAGAAGGATCTTTTACTTAAAACGAAACGAAGAGGGCCACTTAACAATAGATTGACGTGCTTTCCTCCATTTTGGTATAATTTGTATTTCCTGGAATCACTGGTAGGAGTGTAAGATGAAGGGAGTTGTTTCATTTATTACTTGGCATAAAGATTTTATCCTTTAAACAGCTTACTATTGTTCCTTACTTGAATCTTAAAAAAGACTGTCGTAACTTGCTAAAGTCAGCAGTGATCTTCGGCTAAAATGATAAACTATTTAGAAAGCTTAATGTTTATTATGAAGATTTTATGATATACTCATTGCCTCAGCCTCCGTTAATTACAAACATGAACTACCCACAGTGTTTCTATCTCGGAGAGATTCTTGAGCCTTGGCAAATGCTGAATTCTGTTACTGGACAGAAAGCTGCCGGGAAAAATGAAAGAGAAAAAGTAGAAGAGTTAAGTTATTTTCATGGTTTCTTGAAATGAATATTCTAGTATATGGACAATGACCATAATTTTTTAAATAAACACGATCTTTGTTAGTTCAGCTTTCGCAAAGTAAATTTTATGGGACTATATGTATCGACAATTTTTACATTTTATCCCTGACAGTTTGGAATATAGGTGTCCTTTGCACGCTCGCTGGATGTTGTCAGAAGATTTCTCTTCTCAGTAACACTGTAATGAGACTGTATCAAGTCATAATTTGAATGAATGAACAAAGTTGAAATGGTAAATTGGCCACCGTTACGATTATAAAAGCTGACGTTTCGAGCGTTAGCCCTTCGTCGGAGCGACTCAAGTCTGTATCAAGTCAGCCATATGACAAATGAATTTTGTTTGTTTTGAACTCTCCCATAAAAGCATTACCTCTTACTGTTATTAACACACCTACATAACCACTAGTTACGTTAAAGAAAACGCTGTGAGAGTTAGTCAAATTTTATTCGTACTTTTACAGATTCTAATCACTTCGTCTAGTTCCCTAAAAACGCAAAATATCCAGCTATCTTGACGTAATGCTTGGTGAAAAACTCAATTTACAGTGCAAGAGTACCGTAATACGAATTGGATGCCACTTACAGCCATTTCAACTGAGTGAGCTTGCCAAAGATATCCAGGGGCAAGCCCTTAATCCTGTTGTTTGACAAATCCCTTCAGATAGTAATTGGAAGAAAGGCTAAGCTAACTGTCAAACAAATTTCAGTACTTGCTCTTCCTGACCCTTCCAGTAGGTGCTGAGTAAGGGTTAGAGGTGTATCTGAGATTTTTTAAAGGTTTATCAGAGATTTTTTAGAGGTTTATCAGAGATTTTTTACTTATATGTATTTAGCATATGAGATAGTGCCTAGAAAACTTGAACAGAGGTAAGGAATCAACAAGGTGGAGAAATAGAACGTAATGGCTAAATTGATTCCATGCAGTAAAACTGTGAAATTCAGTAAAACTAGTGAAATCCCTGGCTCTTTGCGAGGAAATAATTAGACTTTTTTTTTTTTTTTAATTTTATAAGTAACAAAATACTATCTGGAGAGTATTCTGTGAGTATCTCAGGTGGAGGCAAAAATGGCTGATATGATTGAAAGCTAAGGTAATATATAGTGGATTATGATTAGCAAGAGTTGTAACTGGTTATTAATAGAAATAGCGCTACTCACAATTCTCTCAGCTTGGTGTTTGTGCTGAGAACACCTCGAGTCAAGTTGGGCAACTGGTTGAAAGATAGGTCCCTGACAGTAAGACGTTCCACAGTTTTTGGAAAATGTGTTATATGCGAGAAAAAAGGAAGAAGAAAAGAGAGAGGAAAATACACGGGTTTAAAATGTCAAATTTTTTTTCAGTAAATCTTATCACCTTTTAATAATTTTAAAGATATTTGCAATTGCCTCAAACGTTTTATGAGCTTTTATAATTAGTAGGAGAAGGCTACGATAATAAGAGGAAGAGGAGAAACAAGTCTAAGTCTAAGATGCTTGTTCATCTTCTTCCATTTATTATCAACTTATTATCAATTTATCCTCTCCGCCGAGTGGGATAATTTTT